CTTTATGACATATAGTGCGTGTCATTATATATATATATATATATATATATCTCAATGTTAATGGGAATTTGATAAAAATAAAGATTTTGTATGTTATATGAAAATATTTTATGATTTTTATTTTATATTTACGTGTTTATATAAAATTTTCACTAATAAATATGAGAAAACACAAACAAAATATATTTGTTATTAGTAATTAGAAAGGGAAAAAACTAAGATATTTTTTTGTTAATTTTTTAAATTAAAAAATTATTACTGCCAAATGATGTCATTGTCGTGCTTGTATATATATATATGTGCGTGTGTATAGACTGTCTGTGTCTCTACGTGCGTATATGTATATGTATATGTATATGTATACGTATATGTATATCAAACTAAAGGAGCAGGAGGGTGGGGAAAAGAACAAGCAGCTGGGCCCTCATTCATTTGTCACTTACTCCCCATGGATTACCAACTTGGGCTTTGCTTGTTATTTTCAACCGTCAATAATAATAATAATAATAATAATAAATTATATAAATAATAATAATTATTATTAAAAAATATTATTTTTTTAAATTTATATTATAGATAATAATTATTTTTTTTAATTTATATTATAGATAATAATTAACATGCAATAATGGGCTAATAATGTATTAAAAAAAAGTGTTAACATAAATTTTTTATTTAAACAAATATATTTTAGTCACTTATATTGTTATTTTAAATTAAAAAATGTGACAAGTACAAGTTTAAGTTTTTTAAAATTTGTTTTGTATTTTTTATATTTCATTTTTCAAATGTTTATTTAAATTATTTGCTAATAATATAAGATTTAATTTTTAATTTAATTTAATTTAATAAATAATTTATATACAAGACAAAATAAATAAATAAATAAAAAGCATTTTTACAAAGAGTACTTTTTATTTGTTCGTCAAAAGTTTGGTCACATCAAGTAATTGAGTTCATAGTTCACATGGTCAATGACTCAATCCTCCGTGACAGCGACTTAAATAAATTTAATTCTTTTAAAAAATAGGATATTATTATGGTATTTTTATTTTTATTAAGTTATTATATTTATGTTTTTTCTAACATTTAATATATATATATATATATATATATAAATAAAATATATCCATATTGAAGAATTATTATTCTTAGTTAATTAAAATTATCATAAGCTTCTCTTTGGGTTAATTTAATGATGGAATTGAATTTTATAAATATACTTGAATTATTAAAAAATAAATATAATTTATAAGTTTTATAGTGTGTCGAACACACAAAATTTTTGTTTTTGCTAATAATTTACATTATATTTGTTGTAAATATTATAGTGTAATAAATAATATAATAAAAATATCATATCATAAAAATAAATATTTATTTTTTTCAGAAAATAAATATTAAAATTTTATTTTAGTAAAAATTAAAATTAATTCTATTACATGCAATAAAAATAAAAAATAAAAAATAATATTTTTAATATTATAATTTAATATCAAAATTTTTTTAATAAAAAATAATATATGGATGAAGTAGAGACAAAAAAATATATTGTACTATCTTATGAAAATAAAAATAATATATGGTTTATAATTAATTGTTATATTTATTTAAATACTTAATATTTTTGTTATAATTAGGTTAAAGAAAATACAAAAAGCAATTCTAATTGTTTTTAAGAATTTGATATTAGAGGGGCAAATAGGAAATTAATTTATGAAAATAATTATTTACATTAAGAAAAAAAAAAAGACAAAATATTTGAGAAGAAAATCCAAAAAATAAATATTAAAGAAAACGTATTGAGAAGCGGAAAAATATTTATTGCTTTCACCTTCAAATCTTCACAAACTCAAAACCCCTTTCACCTTTGGTTTCCCGTACACCTTCTTCCTTCTCAAGCTCTCTCTCACTTCTCTTGTCTCCCTTCTGCAAATCCCTTTCAGAACCTGTCTTCTTCTCGCGTGGAGCTCCCTTCAGTCTAATATATGTGTTGTTATGTATATATATATATATATATATATGATATGATATAATTGAGTTGTATATTTCTTCTGTCTATTCAAATTCTGCTTCTGTCTGTAATTCCTCGCAAGCTTCAACCAGCTTCTTCCATTTTTAGTGGCGGGAACCCTGAATTGGCGGGAACGAACGGTTAATTCTGAGGAATTTGAGATTTTGCATGTAGATATATGGTTTTGAGTTTCAAAATATTTTTCTTCCTTTTTCTGATTTTCTTTCTGGATTTCAAATTTTTGAATTCATGGCGAACCCGTCCGAGATGCATCAAGAAAGGAATCATAATACTTCGTCGTCCTTCAATGGAACAAGCTCCACCGTCGTCAATCCGGTTGTTGATAGTACTGGACCTACAGCTGCGGCCATGAAGCATAATCCTGGTATCTCCATGGACTGGACTTTTGAGGAGCAGGCGATCCTCGAGGAAGGTTTGACAAAGTAAGTCTTCTGTCGGCTTTAATTGCGATTTCTGGATTTTACTCGAATTCAACGTTGTTGTGGAGCTTTCTTTCTTTTTTTTTTTATTTCTTCTCTTGAACGATATTTTAGCAGCTTGTGAGTTGTCCTGAATTTTGGAGTTTACAGGATTTTGATCGAAATGCAATTTTGTAAGGTAAAATTTTCGTTCGTTTTAGATTATTTAGGTTTCTGTGGAGTAGGTCCAATCAGGTGTTTGGCAATGGCGGAAATTCAAGTTATTATTTTAGTTTCTTTGTTGTTTGAACTTAATTTAGTTCTCTCTGGAATATTTTTATGATTGTGTTAGTAGGTTCTGAATGAAGGTTCATTTTTTGGTTAGATTGCTATTGGTTTTTCTTGCTTTGTAGGTTGAAGTTGATGAGCTCTTGTCCAATATTGCTCTGTATTTTAGGGTTTAAATGTATTATTTCATATTTGTTCGGCTGTAGTGCTGAACTTCTGAGTTCCCAAAATAGTAGTTGTGTTTCAGTAATAGCTTTACTATCTTTTTGGATATTTGGAACTTACTATTACATAACCATACTTATTGTAGAACTTGATTCTATGCCAATACTGGTTCTTGCATGTCCAGTTCATGAAATAATTTTTGAGTTTTGGTATTTCCTTGCAGATATTCATCCGAACCGAGTGTAATTCGTTATGCAAAGATAGCATTGCAACTACAAAATAAAACAGTTCGAGATGTTGCGTTGCGCAGCAGATGGATGACTGTGAGTTCTTTTCAGGGTTTTCTCCTGTCTTTTTTTAAAATTTAATCAATCAACAAAGCGTTCTGGTTTAGATGTGGTTGCACGAAAAAAGGTTAAGTAGTAGAATAACCAGTTAACTATTTGAAATATTTATTTTTAAGCGGTGGTGATCTCATGCAGCGTATAAATGGGATCCATCTGTCTCACTTAGTTGGGCTTCGTTGCTTTGTCGTTTCTTCTTGTAAGGCGTTAAGCACGAAGATCTATCACCTAACAAGATTTTGGATGTAGAATTATCTTTTGTTTTGGTTGGGA